ATATTACCTTAAACTGATTATAAATGCTTCCAGTTGATAGAAGGTCATTTACGAACAGGAAATGGATTTACACAATCCGACTGTCGGTTTCCGGTGATACCGAACAAACCAACTTTTTCTAGGAAATGGAAAGTTATGTCACAATATATCTTTGAAAGCCAGTTTCTCTTCCTCTTTCTTAATTACCTGCATACAGAACGTTAGATTTTGTGCAAAATACTACTCCTATTGCAGTAGTTTGACCTTTTTTACGCAACTTGGTTTTACACTTTGATGTGAATCCCCCGTAAAAGACCATTCCTCTTAGAGTCCTGTATCAACAATGTGTTCAGTAGGCTCATATTTTGGGACCCATGGAGCTTTACAAGAGGTCTTTTGTTCTCATAGTCTCTTCTAAATGGGTCGGCAGGTCTACGCCAAGTAGATATTGCCACATAAACACAAAACCTAGCAGTAGCCTGGTGCAGTAAGAGGCTCTGAAAAGTCTCCTAAACAAGACACGACTGAAGAAAGTGTTAAATTCTCTTTGAGCAATGTTCTGGCGTTCCATTTCCTTAGAAGGTCACCCAACATTTTTTGCAAATTCAGGAACAGCCTAAAATGGCAATCTCTTTTCATCTTATTACTGACAATTGAAATGTAATTACCTACTAATCTTAATGGACAATTGTTTTTAAATAGTATATGCCAGACGCAGACCCTTTATTATCATAGATTTAACTACTCCTACTTTAGCTTCATTTGTATGAAGTTTCAAAGTTATAAGTTCGATGTAGCCAACACAATCATGGGATTCCTCATTAAGATTGCACGGAAAAGCGTATAAAACAGTGGCTAGGGTTTTGGTACATTTTGGCTCTATTTTATAAAGTAGCAATTCTTGCTCCACGACGATACAGATTAAAGTTAGACACAAGTTTTTCGGTATCGCATCACGTTGGGTCGGAAAGTTCTTCACCCAATCCGACAGTTATCACGTCACGGTGATACTCTTTCCGTTTCCAGTGAGACCATTTTACGAATTTCTCCCAACCAACTTTTACTTCGAAATGGAAAGTCTTATCACAATTACAAAAGCGCCTAACGTCAGGCTCAATATTCCACGGTTGCGGCATGACTGAGATTGCATAAACCCTAAATTATGCCAAACTGAGATGATGCTTGTAAGTGTGGACGTCGGGTCACCAAGCCACCAGCCATGATCCGTCGGCCGGGGATCAGCAATGCCCAATGATCAAAGGAAAAACATGACTAAGTTTGCAGTCCACCCTGAATGAGAACAACTTTTGGGAAAGCGAAGCTATGTAAAATTCAATGGAAACGTCAGCTCAATTCATATCATTTGTGGGAAAATTCTACTTCTACCAGTTCTTCGTCTCCTTAAACGAAATTGGGTGAATACATCTTATAATTAATTTACTGGTAGTCACGAAAAACAATACTTAATTCGAAAAATAAGTTTGCATAATCTCGTACTTTGCTTCAGTTTATGCTATTAGTTGAACTGTCTAAACGAGTGTGAATGCGGTTAGAGCCATCAATGAGCTGACAAGTAGAATCACCCTCTTTATGTCGGACGGTCAACACACTCATTCTCTCTCCTTCTGTCTATCAATCAACTATGACTAGTTCCTTTTCAACCTTATGTCAGTATTCCTTACATTCAATGCCTCGA